AAATCAATGTTTGAAGAACATTAATCACTTGGTTTTATATTTACATTTAGACCGTGTTTCATTGATCTCAGCAAAAAGTGATTTTAGTAGGAATTTAATGTAGTAAGGAGTTTAAGTTAATTCAAAGTGCGTGATATTTCAGAGCCCAGCAGGAGTCCTCTGTATATAGACTACTGTTGAATTCCATTAAACAAAAAGACTAAAAAAAACTGTCAAAAGAATGAGGGACCATGTGAAAAGATTTTATGCTAAAACTGGCATTTTGATACTTATTTGTTTATTTTTATGGATTATTTCATCTGACTATGTTTTTATATTCAACAGTGAAGTGCTCCATAGCAGCTTTGCTGTTTAAAATTAAACTGAGGGCATGACATTATCTGGGAAAATACAAGATGTAGACTGAGAGAAAGTTGTGGGTTTTGGAAAGATGATTGAAAGTGACTTCACATTTTACTGGTGATAACAAGATTATCACACTTTGGAAGAATTTGTGGGGGTTGAAAATTTTCTAACAGTAGACTTTTTAATTTCTTCAGTAATTAAAAGACAGCAAGACAGAAAACACTCAGGGAGACAGAACTGTCAGGTAAGATCCATCTATTGCAGGCTTAGCCATTATGTTCAAAAGTGTCATGCTGATATTTTAATTCCATTACCGCTGGTGTATTTTAATTTCTGAGACTAGCAGAAAAAAAAAAGCGTGAAGTATTTCAGTTTGGTTTTTTTTCTTCTTCCCCCACCTTTTTTGGAAGTGATTAAAGTAACAGAACAGCTAAACTTTAGGATTTTGCCACACCCAACTTGCTAAAGAATAATAATTGCAAATATTGATCGGGAAGCTGCATGTTCTAAATGTCCTGCTCTTAAAGTTACAATTCTATAGAGATTTAGTTCCTCTGAAGTAATAGGAAAATATTGCTCAAAGTAGTTTCCAAAATTAACCTCTGCCTTACAGGGCCTGCTTTTCTTGAGCTGACATTAGCATGTATTTTAAAGGCAAGATTGCGAAAACCCCCCTGTACACATTGAGGTTTTCTGTAAAGGATACAAATTATAAAGTTTATTTTTTCATATGTTTTATAAATTGCCTAACATGTACATTGTTCTGTCTTTAACTTTCAATTTTACATCAGAATTTCTACAGGGTATGGTGTGATGCAAGCAGGTTGTGACAGCAGAAGGATGTTTTCCTGTGTTAGCTCAGGGAGGTCACCTATGCTTAGGAGCTGATACTGTATGGTCTATTTTATTTTCTTTGCATACATTTAAATTAAAATGTAAATTTATGTAGTAGGCAACCACAGAAGGAAAGAAAGCAGAAGTAAAATTTTAGATTTAGTGATCAAAATAGTTCAGCTAAGTGTTGAGATAAGTGTATGCATAAAAAAAGGCAATTGAGTAGCTGTTAATTTGGAACAAACATTTTGATGGATTGATCTAATTATAGAATACATATAAATATATGTAGCCACATGAGCATATGTGTGCTCTAAACAGACATCTAAATATTGTTGATCTGTTATGAAGCCAAATCCTCCCATAAAGTAGTTTTATTACTTTTTTTGCTGATGTGGAGAAGCATGCAGTTGAAATGCATCTGGATTTTTTGCTAGTATGTTTGTAGCATGATCCTTATCGCTGAAATGCCAATTTTCCATCATTTAAATATGTGTTTTTCCACAGTCTTAGCTTACTCCAGGAGTTTGTTGTTTCCTTTGGTGCTGTGACTTGGGCTGTGTGACAGATGGTGCAAGGAAGTTGATGTTGTCCTGTTGCCTGTGACACCTGTCTCTTGCAACAAGAGTTTGGCAATCCCACCGGGCTGAAGTTAAATGCTTTTGGTGTTAACTGAGCTGACATTGCTTGTGCCACTTACTAAATCAATTAACTGAAACGAGTTCATGAGGTAGGATTGGTCAAAAATCACAACATTGAGATATATAAATCAGTAGTTTTTCCTACTAGTAGGTGGGTTTTATATTTTTACTCTTACTGTGCAGCTCTGTACTCTTGCAGACACTTAGCCCTATGCCTAAATTTAAGGCCATAATTTTGTTTTCAGTGTGACTACCCAAGAGCTTGAAAGCCTTAGTGCGTGTATTTGATATTTGGAAGCTTACTGTTTGCATTTCAGGATTAGCATCACCACTTAAAATTGCCTGACACTTCTTTGGCTTACACCACGATTGTCAGTGTTTCAATAAAAATTGCTTAAATGTATGACTTGATAAAATTAAAAGGGAATTAAAAATAAGAAGAGTTGAAAGATGAGCTGACTTTTGCCAGGCAGGGCAGGGTATATTGTGGCATTTTCCTTGGTTTCAGCCTGCCAGGGTGGTGGGTGCTCCTGAGCTGGAGCTGAGAGCATCTGAGTTCCACAGTCTGTGGTGCACACGCAGGCAGGGCATCAAGGAAAATGAAGAAATGGCAACAGTGAAAGGGGCCAGATTTTTACAGCAGTGTCTCTAGATATCAAGGTGAAAAACTTACTAGATCAGGGTAAAAAACCCAAACAAAACAAAACAAAAAAAAACAACCCACCCACTGATGCTTTTTTTGTAAATTTACAAATGTATTTGTAAATTTTTAGTTTTGATCTAATTGAAGCAAATCTTTTATACATAAGAAAGGAAAAAAGTCATATTAAGTTACTTTTCAGTAAAGTGTTATGTATTGAAGTTGAAACCCCATCAATAAACAAGATTTAACAGGGCACTAAGAAAACAACCACAAATAAGGGAAAAATAAATGTTACTTTGTGCATAGATGTCTTAAAAATCATCAAATAAGTACTTTCAGATTCTCTTGAAGATTTCACCATGAAAAATGCATCTGAGGCATTTCTGCATGAAGTCTGTGGTTACTGTTGCAGCAGCAGCATTTGGAGCCTGCCTTTGGGGAATCCTTGTTGCTGCAAATGAGGTTGTTAGAATTCATAACAGCTGGGGAATGACTAAAGATCCTGTGACTGTACTTTGAGATAGTGCTGTTGTATTTCAACCAAGCATACTTTTGAGCATGTACAGCAATAGAAAATCAAATATTTGTTTTTTTAATGCACTCATCATTAGATCATTTAAAGATGTTAGTGTAGTAACTTCTAAGTAAGCTCTGTATATAAATTTAAATATTGAATATTCTGAATCTTACTTCACATTATATTGTAGTCCTGGCTCTGGGTGTTACTTGTACATTTCAAAGTAAGCAGTTGCTAGGAGAAAATGCATATATGTAATCTAGAGTCTGTACTTCCAGAAAAATACTTTAAGCACAATCAAAACATGTAGTACCTTTCAACTATCACTGTCAAAAAGGCTTTTATAGAACTATGGATGTAGTTGACTTGTGAGGCATTTTGACAGCTGCATTGTTCAGGGTGACTTACAGTTTTCTCAACTTGCTTCAAATTATATTAAATCATAGAGTGCTTTGGGTTAGAAGGGACCCTAAAGGTCACCAAGTGCCAACCCTCCTGCCATGGGCAGGCACACCTTCTACTAAAAAAGGCTGCTCAAAGCCCCATCCAGCTTGTCCTGTATCACTTGGAGAAAGGAATTATCATCAGCACATTCCAGGAACCGCCTGGATTGCTTGTGCCCTGCTTTGTTGCCCCTTCAACAGGCATTGGGGTGGCTGAAGTTCCTCAGGAGGAGCAGGACTTGTGAACATGAGGCTGTTCCTGTCTGTCTATAGAGGGCCTCATCTTCTCAAGTCTTCCTGGTTGGAGGACCTGTAGCAGGCCCCCACTGTAATGTTGCCTATCTCTGCTGTCCCTTTAACCCAACCTATAACCCAACTTCAACTCCTCATCCCTCGCCCGGCAGGGGATGCTCTATGCATTCTTACTGGTCATTGACATAGAGGGAAACGCCCCTTCCTTGTTTCCCTTCTCCTCTCCTTCCTGAAGAATCAGTATCCTTCCATTCCAACACTCCCATCATAGGAGCCATCCCACCACATCTGTCTGACAAGGTCCTAGGTGCACATCTCTTGTTTGCCCATGACTCCAAAGCCAACATCCTGGCTAGAGTGGCTGGAATTTCTTTTCCCGCTGACTTGCAATCCCCTTTCAGACTCAGAGCATCTCTTTCTGGTATTGACATCAAACTTGTAAGTGGATGGAAGTTGGATGGATTGAAGTTCTGTTTCCCTGGGAACTTCTGTAAAGATTGGTGAAAAAACTACCTTCATTCCGAAGTGCCTTACCATCACCCTCTGCAATCCGTCCTGGTATTGCTCAGACTGTTCCAAACCAGTTCCTGGCTGTGCCACTGGTGCCCTTGTGAAACTGCAGCAGTGGGCAGTAGCGGCCTCTGTGAGGCTTGGGAGTCTCTTGTTGACATCCCTGCTATGAGCCCCCTGGAAGCAGCACAGGTCTCAGGAGCATGTCAGAGGCAGACCTCTGTACCTGTTCTCAGGAGTGTCCCTGCTGCTGTCACCATCACGTTCTTGTGGTGGCATTGGCTGTTACAGGGCAGATGGGGCTGCCTGGCTCAGCTCCAGCACCTCTCCTGATGGGATTGGTCTTTTCAGTCCACAGAGCAGAGTAGAGGTTCTCCAGGGGCATGCCAGGCTTCAGTGGAAGTTTCTTTCTCCTGTAGATTAATGCTCTTGCAAGCTTCCATTCTGCGTTTTGCCCCTCTCTGTTCTGTGTGTGCAGGTGGAGTTGTTGGATGCTGGCTGTGGGCTGCGGGTGCACTGCAGACTGAGCTTGGAGCCAGTTTCCCAGCTCAGCCCCCCTCGTGCTGCACACATTTCTCACAGCCTGCTGCAACTCAGAGTAGTAAAAGAAGTGTTGTGCTATTGTGGTTAGTGCAAGGCTAATGCTCTACAGTTTCTTGCCATGAAATATATCCTATTTTGAATTTAACTCACATTAGATATCCAGTCATGTCTTTCTGCCATCTCCACATACAATAAATTTAGAGTATGTTATTGATGTCTGACCATTAAGTACATTTGTTTTTAACTTCTTTTTAATTTTCCTCTGTTTTCAGGAAGTTGAAGACCACGTGGCATTTTTAATAACTGTTCCAACAGCCCTAGCAATTTTTTTTGCTATATTTATCCTTGTCTGCGTAGAACCTGTATTTAAGAAGCTGCTTCGTATATTTTCTCTGGTGGTCTGGGTATGTCTTGTTGCCATGGGATATCTTTTTATGTGTTTTGGAGGAATCATCTGTCCCTGGGACCAGGTAAGACTGTCATTATTACTAATTTACTTCCATTGGTTATATTCCAAGAACCATTCTATACAAAAGCATTCATTTTTGTGGGACAGCTCACAAAATGTTTTTGTGACTAAGTGGTTGCATGCTGAGACTGCCTCTATCTGTTTTATAAATACCAGAGATGTGCATACTTAAAATACATTAGGAAATATTAAAAGGATTTTGCTGTTATATTCTTAAGCTCCTTTAATCATGAATACGTGATTCCAATCACTAGCTGATTTGTGGAGTGAACATTTGATTCTACTGACCAGTTAACATGGCAGAAATGCTAGTTTTGTTCAACACTGCTTATTGCTATCTTTTTCAGTTTAAAATGTGTGAGGTCTCAGTGTAGGCTTTCTCTGGCCTACAAGGCATTCTCTAGCAATGCATGAGAAAAAGGACTGGGAATCTCCTTACTTGTCTAGAAAAATGGATGAGTACAGAAGTAGTGAAGTACCCTTCACATTTTTAAAATTTTGTAGTGAAGAAAAAGCAAAATATAGTTGCAACCTAATAGCAGCACTTTTGAAACATCAATAAATGATGTGCAATATCCAGTGCTGTGGCTGATCGATTATTTTGAGTTCTGTCACATTATTTTCTTTTCTCCAAATGGTTCTACATGAGAATATGGCTCATATAATATTTTATAACTCTTCAAAGGATGGAAAAAGTCTTTTAAATATATAAATATGTCTTCTGAAGATTTCATGCTGATTCTATGAGTTTAACCTTTAAATTGTATTACTCTCTCCAGAATGCACTCTAGGTCCTTAAGACAGACTCAGAACAAATTCTCAGACTTTTTATTCGGATCTTGCAAAGACTTGGGCAAATAATGAACTTTACGTAGTTCCTTTAAGCTCTTAAATATAAATTTTTAAGATTATTGGTGCATGTTAGTAATACTTTTGGAGCCCTTTGTGGGTGACTTTATAGTTTCATTTTCTTAGAAGGTTTCTTAGAAGGTTCTGGGATTAATTATCTAAGAAACCTCCTACATGGTTTGGGGTTTTTTTAGGTTTTATATATTTTCAATAGTTTAAACTACAAAACCAGGTCACACTTGCATGTAATAAAAAACATCCAAACATAAAATACTTTTCTTTAGATAAGGTTTTCACCCTGGGAATGCTCTGGCTTTGTGATCTCATCTAGGTAATTCACAAGGTCTTACTTGTTTCATTTGTTTTAATTGGCATTTGTGTCATGTCATGCTAGAACATATCAGACTTTCAATCTTAGATGCAAATATTTAGTTAGTCATATTATTCATTCACTGTAAATTATACTAAATTTAGTTTTGGTATTTGAAAGCTAGGATAAAGATTTTCAAGAGGGATATTGATGTCTCAGTCCTGGAGTTGTGTTTACAACTGACACTTCCCTAGTGTCAGTTAAGAGTAAACTGTGGAAATACGGGAATCTTTCTGGGAATTTGACGCCTTATGCAAAAGACTAACTGAAACTTCGATGCTTTCAAACATTTGAAAAAGATCTGTGAACAGTAAAATACTGCCTTGTATTCCTGTGATGAAAGTGTTTTGTTTGCTCTGCATTGAGAATATGTAGGTCCATAACTAGTGCTATCTCTTAAATGTGAAACCAAATTGGAATAATCCTTCCTCATTGAACATTGACAGGTTCTTTGTTGAAATTCTACATTTTATGAACTTTTAAACAGTTTCACTTGGCATATTGAAGTGGTTTTGTGATTCCTTTATGCTTTTTATGAAAGAAAGGAGACAGGATGTAAAATTTAAATTACTTAGGTTTCAAATATATTTCTGTCAATATTAACTAATTAGAAAATGATGAAAATGAAAGAGTCAGTTCATGCGCAGTTACTTACTAAACAAGTGCTTTATTTTAATTTACTTCATGTTTATATATATTTACTTTAATTTAGTTTGCTTCAAATGACAGCCTAACTTTTGTTCTGGTCCAGCAGAGTTTTAAAATATCATAACATTCATGTCCCCTGAATCTTAGGCTTGTTAAGAACATGGCATTTCTTAGCTGTACCAGTAACTATTGAAATATAGATTTTCTTCATACCACAGTTACTAGAAAGAGCATGTTATTGTGGCATTTGTGGACAGCTCTTTGATTGACACCCCTGCATCTTTTAAATTTTGGCTTAATGATTTTCTTGTGCCTTTTGGCTGTTTGCAACTGCTCAATGTAGTTTTTCCTCTGTTGTCTTAAGGAACCTGAGGTGTGAACTTTCACGAATTTTGTTTACAAGAAAAATACCATTTGAGAGAGATTATTTTGGTTAGGAACTCAGTATATATTTAATGCAGAGCAGTTCTTCCTTAGCCTGCAGGCACATAGCTCAAATGACTCACAATTAGTAGAGGGCTGGAAATGAAGTGGTTGATCAGGACCATTGTTTTGGTGTTTTTTTTTTTTTTTAAATCAGAAACATGTAGACTGATGTGAAATAAGTGCAAATAGTAACTGGTTTCAGCTATCTTTTTGCTGTCCCTGTACACTGATAGGTCACTGTCCTATCAGTCTCCATTTCCTTGAATCTTCTTTGGTTTCAGGCGCAGCTTTGGAGAAAACTCTCATCAGGTGGGTATCTGGCTGCTGTCTGAAGGGTGTGGTTGTGGCAGTTACTTTGTCCCTTGTGCCAATCTGCCATCTCCATGCTGGCTCCGTAATTGCCTGCTGAGTCTGATCCAAAGGAAGTTATTGTCACTGGACTGCCTGGGCATTATCCCTAACCCATCTGGGATAGCAGCCAGCATATTTGCATCATCAGCATTAGTAGCTAACTTACCTCTTTAGTTAGTCCAAGCTCCCTTACTCCTCTGTGTCAACAACGAGGAACAGTGAATACACTCAGAGGGAGATGGAGCATGTCTTAGGGAGACAGTGGGTCACTTAACATGAAAAAAATTGAAACAGTGGTGGCAAAAGTCTTTGGTACCTGGCAATTTTTTTTAAGAAGTGTGGCAACCCTCCTTTATTGGTGTCAGCCCAAGTTTCTGTGGTATTGGAGCCCCTGGTTTTCCTTGGTTGCTTGGGGAACTTGGATCTTGACCTACATGTGCTACAGTTTCCATGAGCCAGGAGGGAAACTGGGCTGCCTGCTAGGAGTCATGAGACACCTGGGTTGGTAGGAAACAAATAGAGCAAAGGTAGTCATCCTGAGGCTCAGAGAGAGCCGCTGCCTGCTGGCAACTTTCTTCCAAGTCTAAGGTGCGAGCAGTAATATGTGAAGATGTTTTCAGTAAGGGAAGACCCAAGGGCGATGATTGCTCAACTAAGTCTGTGACGAAATCTGTGGATGGTGTGTTGGTGGAGGACCAGTGATGCAAGGCAGGCAGGCTGAGTAAGGAGTGCTGGTAGAAAGGAGTAATGGATTGCTTTTGTTATGTTAGAACTCTTTCTTACTATAGTATGAAGCACCTTTCCCTTCAAAATGTAAATCCAGTACCTGTCTGTAGAGTTTCCTTCTGGGGAATGAATTTAAATTATTTTTCTCTTGTTTCACTGACAGTGAAGTTATTGTACAACAGTTGGCTTTCTGTGTCACCCTCTGACATGTCTAATACTTCCTCAGCCTTTTATATGGGATGTAGGTAAATATGACATAGCACATTGATATTAGTGGGTAAAAAGAGCTCTTAAAGTATGCAGTGGATGATATAAAAAAAGAGTAACTATGCAGCATTATACTAATCTAATGAATTTTATCATTGCAGGATTTTGGCATTCAATTCTATTTAATTATAAATATGTTTGCACAGTGCAGACACCAGATGTGTTCCTCCTTCTCTGTATTCAGTTACAGCACAGAAATTACTTCAAGCGGAATTTGACACTTAAGGTTTTAAAAAAATATCCAGAGTGATGTGCTCAGAATATATATTTTATTATTTTAGCCTAAATTCTACTTTTTGAGCGGAATTTAAAGTACTTCTTTGTTTTCTTTCAATATGTTGATATAGAATGGTTTGATTTGGGCCTTGGACCAGTCCTGGCTTAAGAAGTCTGGGAAAAATGTTATGCCCTAGTATTTACATTGATCTTTTTTTTTTATACTGTCTTAGCACCTGGGGATATCTGTTGTGTGCTGAAGGGTGAGGGCCAGCAGAAAGTTTCTGTGGTTGTGGTAATCAGCTCCTGTATTGGGCAGTTTGGTGAAACAATGGGTCTGCAGAAAGGGAAGACTTGTCTTTGTGTGAATTACATTACTAATTTCCACACCTTGATTTATCTAAAGTCTGCCCTGCCCTAAACTATCAATAACATGCTTTGTGGTTAAGCAGTATAAAAAAAATATATTGTTAGATATTTGAGGAAAGCAAGGCAGGTGTCAGTGAAGTCCCTGCAGCACAGGAAAGTGAGGATGCATTGATGCTATACCACTTCTTCAGGATCTGCAGTGTGGGGGAGACTTACTTTTTTTAAAGTTCAATATTAATCAGACTCTCAGGAATGAGTATCCTGAGCAAGGAGCCAAATATTATAGGAGCATGGTTCTTGTACCTTGTAGGTGAATATTCACCTGAAAAAGGACATGAAGAAAACCTGAAGGGTTGTATAAAAGGGAAAGATACAGCCAAGCATATTATACTCAGCTTTAGGAATAGGTGTGGTAGAAAAACCAAGAACCCTTCAATCCACCAGAATATGCCATGTTTTCAGTTATAATCTTGGAAAGAAAACAAATTATTTTAATCTTAATACTTTTTAATGATATATAAAGTCACAGGCTTATTAGCAAGGCATTTAGATGGTTTTGTCAAGGCTGTTATGGTTATATCTGTATAGAAGACAGGAAAAAGATGAACTATTAGTTATTAAAATCAGTGTAGATTAATATAATACCATAGTATGCCAACCCCTGAAATACCTGTTGGCATAAACCAACATGCCATTGTTAACATTTGCTATGTCGTGGTAGTGCATTATGAGAGCAGTTAGTGAAGAAAGAACTGACAGCTGTTTTAAATAGGGAATGT